TCAGGCTCGCCTCAGTGACCACGCCTTCGATCTCCACATCAGAGGCTGGAATGTACACCCTATATTCCAGTGTGAAAAACTGGGAAACAGCAATTTCATTGGCCTGTTTCAGGTTAGCGACGGTCACACGAAGTTTGTTGTGCCTAACCTTTGTTATTTCGGTCACGGCAGAGAATCGCTTTGTCAGATCATCAGATATCTGAACAACATTCAAGGGTTTATTTTTGGGCTGAAAATAGACAACCCATGGGCCAGTCGAGTCATTCGGGTAGGCCCGCAATCTGGTGCTTTTCTCAGCCTGCCCATTGACAGACTGAGGTGACGAAACAGGGATGACATCATCATTTTACTGAGATGAATGGTCATCCATGTCGTCTTCCGACAAAACATCCATTTTGTTCTACCAGTGGGAGCGCAAAACGCTCTCCCAGTGAACTGATTTTTAAAATCGCACAGCCACCACAATACACAGAAAACACTACAAACACAGAAATACAAAATGAAAATTTGACTAAAGCTGGGTTTAGACAGGGCAAGTCAATTGATCAAGTCAATTGATCAAGTCAGTTGAATTCAACTGACTTGAACGCGAATTGAACGTGTAAACTATGCCATTCAACTGACTTGACCAACTCACTTCAATTGAAAAAAGTGGAACCAGGCTCAACTTTTCGAGCCAATTGAATTCAACTGAGTTCATCATTTGACTTGCCTAGTCTAAACCCAGCAAGCGTTATATGTGTAGGCGTTTACACAGATGGCTGGAAGGGACGCGCAGCGTGGATGACCTTCGTTGTGGTGCCAGTGGTGGCACGAGTCCTGGAGTTTAACATTTTTTCCTAAACATTTGATACTTTTTGCGATAACCATTGTGACGACACACAAAAACAAACTGGCAAGCGGCAAAAATGTCATGACATTTCTAAACTGTTTTCTGCCAGCGACAGAACATTTTCGCACAAAGAAGCAGACAATAACGGCGGCGCGCGCGACATAAATTTATGTCTAGTAGAATTTTGCTGATTTCTGGCTAATTACTGCATTTATTTGATGTTTATTGCATGGAATTAAAAGATAAGAATGAAGACTGACCACTCATAAGCATTGATGTTAAAATTATGCGTAAATAAGGGAGTTGGTAATTTACTGTCACACGCAAGCCTGCAGCTAAAATTTCATTACAATAGACTGTTTGGAAAAATCAGGCTGCGAGATTTTATTTATTCTCTATCTCCGCTGTTCGCTTGGAATGTAGTTATAAACGGCCGCCCGTGTGCTGGCTGTTTTGTTTCGCTCTGGACGATGGTTTTTCAAAAAATGTACTGTTGCCACCTCTGTGTGGTGCACTTGATCGAGGCTCGGTACTCAGCGCACACAGGCGCACGATGATTGATAAACGATGTCGATGTAGAAACGGGTGCTCACACTCGATGATGATAATACGTGAGCAGGTATGCGTGACCACGCAACGATGATGCCCAAATTGGTTTGTGAATTACCAATAGCACGGATTAATCTTACCGAAAATGACACTTTCTACTAAAAAAAACTCACTTTTCGATCAATTTACCGGGAACTATGCCAGGAGTCACTTAGTGAGAAAAAAAAACTGATAATTTATATCAAGCGAATACCGAGAAAACTTCCAAAACAACGGAACGCGAAACAAGTCGACCGTACTTCTTGCTAGGACGCAGTGCTCCTTGATTTGTTTTCCGTCGATCTTGTTTTCCGTGCTGAGCAACAACGCTACCGACGCCGGCAGCTCCCACACCTGAACCCTACATATCGACCCATCAACTTATGGACCAGGGACCAACGGCTATGCCTCAGAACATCCCGGCGGCGCCGACTGGGATTGAACCCAGGCCTGCGGGGGTGAGAGGTAATCTTCGCTTACCATTACACCACCGGCACCGCTGTCAATGGCGTTGTTAATTGTTTATATTTGCGAAAGGAAAGTTGGAAAATTGAGTGCACTGCGTGTTTTGAGCGATGGATATTCATCATTGGTCAACTCCGTCAAACACCACGCACAACTTTCCGAAGGGCATTATTCAAAAACATTAAGAAGAATGAGAAGCTCGATTGCCAAGTCCCGTCCCGGCGGAAAACAAGATCGACGGAAAACAAATCAAAGAAAAAATAATAATAATGCGATGTTGTCGTTGTCTGGGGTGGGAAGCTCTCAATTAATAACTGAGGAAGGTGTTACAAGTTGCAGGGTGGCCAGCGAACCGAGAAAACCGGGAATACCGGGAAATATCCGGGAATTTGAAAAGTAACCGGGAAAACCGAGAAAACCCGGGAATTCAATGAGAGAACCGGGAAAAATAAATTAACCAAACCATACGAATAAATTTTCACAACAGAATTTCAGAATAAACCATTAAAACAGAGTGATTTTTTACTAAATGCATGTCTTTCTCTATTTGCTGCATGATTTTCTTCAGATTCCCGTCTTATTGTTTTTAGAATTTAATCACTCAGCAATATTTCAAATTGATTGTTGCGATTCAATTTCAGATGTAAAGTCCATGGGCCTTAAAATAAAATATTGAAGATGCTGGACTTAAGAAACAAATCTTTGTAAAAACTGAACTATTCTTTTCCGGGGTTTTAATTTTATTCAAAATTCTCATGGAATGAACTTGGAAATCTGTTCTGAGTTATCTTGGGATTCTTCTGAATTTAACCAGAAAACACTCCGCGTAATAATTACCATTGAATTCTTTTTGGAATTTCCTTGAAACCCCTTTTAAATTTAATTTGCTTCATCTTTAAACAGACTACGTAGAACTTCTTCTAACTCACATTACACTAACACATACATTAACACTGATTATTTCTTATCCTTCTAAGAATTTTATTGGAATCCGTCATTGAATTCCCTTAAACCTATTCGAAGACTTTGATTTCATTGAAATTCTTTTTAAAATTTTCTTTTAACTCTATTCAAAACAGCATAGCAATAACATTTCGAAAGCCCTTGGAGTATTTTAAAGAATTTCTTTCTAATAATTAGCAATTTTTTACAATAAATTTTGATGGAGCTCTTTGATGAATATTTCACACTAGGGTTGAAATTATCGCCTGAACACTCTGAGAACTCTGTGTCTTGTTGAATTCTCTTAATAATTGTCTTGGGATTCTTCAAAAATGACCTAATTATTTAATTTAGAAATTGCAATCTCATCCACAGAAATCCCTCCAAATTTTTCTAACAATTCCTAAAGACTTCATGTCAGAATAATTCTGGAATTCTGCACAGAACTTCTCCTTCGAAAACTATGTGGGAATCCTCCTCAATAGTTTGTTTGAAATCAACACTTTGAAAACTTTTAAATTTTACTAAAAATTCCAGGGATTGTCCGCAAGATTCTATCGATTGTTCTGTAATTTGTTATAACCCTCTAAATGCTTCCAAGTCTCAGAGCCTTGACAATTATGACTGCACAATTATTTAATGAATATGATTTATTTTTTCAAATCTGTGATCTTGGAAAAAATTAAACTCTCACATTTTAACTATTTTTTCTCCAAATCTTGCATCACAAAGATTGTTATTAATTAAAAATTTTGAAGAAAAGTTCTATTTTCAGAATCTACACAAATTTCACAAAGCCACAGAATCATGGGAATCTATCTTTTTTAGTAAATAAATCTTTCAGTAATTTGGTTTTTCATGTATTGGTCTATTGGTCGTGGGAATTAAATTTCATGAACTATGTATAGTTTCACGTTGAGCGAGCTCAAACGTCAGTAAATTTCACTTTTTTTTTCGTGTTTAACTTTGTACATCAGTGCGAGTACTGAAAGGTTGATGTGTATGTTAGTATAGACAATGGAGTGAATACACATTTATCACTATCAATTTGCTCTAATTCTCATTTGTATCAAGTTCATGTTTCTGAAACATTTTTTTTAAAAGAAATCTCTTATTCTTCACAATTTTGTCTTATAACCTATAGCATTTGGCCCAGTAACCTTAATCTCTGTCACTCAATAAATTCCAGGGCTTTGAAATCATAAGATGTATCGAGTGGTAGAATTCGATTTATCAAAGTATCTCGAAAGACCAATAAATTGTTTTGAATACATTAAGTGACTCATACAGTTGAATTTTGCCCTATAGCTTTAGAAAACACTTTCTGTAATTTGGCTTTTATTTTTCCCACAAATAATCACTGCAAATTTACAGTTGGCCACGTTTTAAAAAATGCGTAAAATTTCGTTTTTTGTTGAATATCAACACCCGGGAAATTTTTAAGATTTGAACCGGGAAAAAACCGGGAATTTCAAAATGAAAAATCAAAACCAGTATGCACAATAAGTCTTGCAAAATGCAGAAGAAATTAGTTGTATCCCAATTGTTTTGTTGACAGCGGCACCATTTAATTTAGGAATATAAACGCACTTAGAAAGTAATCAAACTGAATAACGTGTTTCGTTTAACGACTTTTACGTGTATGCTTTAAGTACCTTTGTTGATGTAGGTTTCCCTCCTTCGGTTTTGGCATGTTAGTTCCTCTAGTATCTTCATTAATTTTGCATCATTTTAACTGATTGATTTGTTTCTTTTCTGTTCTCTTCTCGGCTAAATCTTTCATTTTGGTTTCGTGAAACTAATTAACACACCCACACACTCAAACGATGACTTGATCAACAATGACACAATGACCCACGTCCTGTAACTCTTGTATTGAAATACAACTTTGATCTAGACTGTCACCGGACCTGAACAGCCCACAACACCGACAGCCAAAAAGTCCAAGAACTCCAAAAAGAATACGAACTCTTCTTCTCCTACTGATACAACTTCCGCTAGCGCTACCACCTCTAACAGCCATCATAACCCATTTCCTCAAAGTCCCGTCAGAAATGGCAGTAGTTTGACTAACCACCAACATCGCAGCCCGCTAGCGGCCAAAACGCACCTGCTGCAGCAATTGAAGAAGAACCGCTCGAGACCAATTCCTTGTTCTAAACTTTTATTGCAGAATTGCCAGTTCTGTCAGTCGGGTGAGCAGGAGGACAAGCTACTACTGTGCGATGGATGCGATCGGGGCTACCATACGTACTGCTTTAAGCCACGAATGGACAAGATTCCCGATGGTGATTGGTTAGTATTGTTTGATGCGGCAAATTCGTTCACTAAACTCGATTCCACATTTTCAGGTATTGCTTTGAGTGTAAAAATAAGGCCACCGGTGATCGTAAGTGTATAGTCTGTGGCGGCTTGCGACCGCCACCGTTAGGTAAGATGGTCTACTGTGAGCTATGCCCCCGGGCATACCACCAGGACTGCTATATTCCACCCCTGTTGAAGGTGAGTACCAAAAAAAAAAGACATGGAATGCAGATATAGAGAATTTTGAACGATTGATTTCTTTTTTTTTCAGTACCCTCGTGGTAAATGGTACTGCCAGAACTGCATCTCGAAAGCCCCACCCAAGAAGAAGCCTCAGCGAAAGCCGAAGGACAGCAAGCAAAATCACAACTCATCCTCAACGCAACTGAATCAATCCAACCTGAGCAATCAATCAGCGAACCTTTCGTTGAATTCCTCCCACGAAGAAATCCCACCAGCGACGCCGACGTCCGGTATGCCCGGAACGCCACTGTCCAATCCCGGTTCCAACGTTAACTCCACCCCATTAAGGTAGCTATCATTGTTTGAAATGTCACATTTCTCCCTTACCCCCACCACTAGAAGAACGAATTACATTAAAAGAGAAACCCATTAATACAGTCCAGCACATTCAGTAGCATCCACGACCCATGAAGAGCCACCGTCGACTGTCCCCGTCAGCCAACAGTGTTCAACAACGATGCCATTGCAGTCAGATTTCAGTCAGCATCAGCAACCGCAGCAGCCAATTGCATTTCCACAGCAAACGCAATACGCCAATCTCGAGGGAACGCCAGTTTCCAGCGTACTAAACAGTTTCCAACTGCCACCGCCGGTGGCCAGTAGTTACGATCCTCAGCAACAGTATCAGCAGTACTATCAATCTCAGCAACACCAACAACATCACCACCAGTTTTACCAGCAGCAAATGTCCGAGTACAACACACTCGCCCAGCAGCACCAGCAGTCTCAGCATGAATCTCATCTATTTCAACCGGCCCACAACAGTGGCGGAAATGTTGCCAACACAGTTCCACCCATACCTGACCATAGCAACAGTATGGAAAACAGCAGCCTGAACATTTCGATGGGCAGCAACGATGGCTCGCACTACGACGGTCACCAGACGCCGCAACAGCTGCCCTGTCAGGACAACAGTAGCATGGCCACGTCCACGCCAACGTCGGGATCGGCCGGATCAGCCGAATACTATTCGCCTTCGAGTGCGAATGCTTGCGCTTCCGGATCCGGGTATGATTCGGAAAAGCACGCCGAATTATGCGAAGAACAAATGCCAGCGGGTCTGGTACCCGGCGGCGGCAGTGCGGGCAGCGTCGGTGGCGGCAGCTGCAGTAGCAGCAGCAGTTCGCACAAATCCGACAAAAAGGACAAGAAGGAACGGGACGAAGCGAAGGAACTGGCCAAGAAGGAGAAGAAGGCCACCAAGAAGCTGATCAAGGAGTTGGCCCCGTGCAAGACGGTTCTGGAGGAGATGGAGGTGAGTTTTTTTGTTTGTTTGTTTTTCAGTCGTGGATTGTGGGAGCAATTCCAGGCAAAAAGAATGATAAAATTACATGAAAAAGGTTTTTTTTTATTATTGCTGATTGCATCTGAAACTGGACTGTTGCAAAAATGCAAAAAGTGTGATAAAAGTGCACGTTTCCGTCAAATCGTTTTGATGTCTTCGGAGCACTTATTGCTTGCATCATAAGGAATAAGTGCACCGAAGACACCAAGACGATTAGTCGTAAACTTGCAATTTTATCACACTTTTTAATAAGTGAAGACAACCTTAACAGATAGACCAACTACCTGCATGAACCTGAATTTTGACATTGTGGTACCTTAGTATATTCGGATTCCAATTCATGCACACAGTAAAAGTACTTGTTATCTGTTCGGTAGCACAGTATATTCTGAATTTATTAATTGTCATGTTATCAAGGCCTGCTTAGATAATATTTTGCACATCTTTTTTATATAAACGGGGACCAAGTTTTAATCTATTTAATCAACATAAATACTTAAATCGTTACAAAATAAAATCATCAAATCTTGGAGGTAGTTTTCTAGTTCGTTGATTATTACCTAACTCTTCATTGTTGAATCCCCGGAAGTTTTCTTCAGCTCCATCTGATGACATGTTTTCCCCCTCTTGATCTTCTTCAAATAGTGATGTTCTAACCATAGGTTTTGATGCACATGGTGTTATTAGGTGTCAGTTGAACTAGATGCGGCTTCTGTTGGTGTAGTCCTAATTCTCTTCAAGTGTGCAATGTTTCTTTTGAATGTTTTTCCTGTGTCCTGGTCTTCTACCATAGCCCTCGGCCCTGCGCGATCTACCACCGTATATTTAGTTTTATTAAACGTTATGTTGCTAGTTTGTTTGATGGCAAAAGGTTTTCCATTAGAACAGTATCTCCTCTTTCGATGTCTGACTCCTGAGCGTGTCGCCTTCTGTCCTCCTTTCCTTTTTTCTTGTTGATCTTGTCCAGGTCACGATAATCTGATGCTGCTGGTGTGGTTTCAATGTCCTCGATTGACGGCAACTTGGATCTGATGGTACGCCCGTAGCACAGTTCTGTTGGAGTTTTCCCGGTTGTTGAATGAGGAGTTGTATAATACATCAGTAAATAGTCGTTTAAATCCTTCTTCCAGTCTCTTTTCAACGCGTTACTGATCGGTAGTCGCTTCAAAAGTGACCTATTTTGTCTCTCTACTAGTCCGTTTTCCTGAGGCCAATATGGTGTAGTATGATTTAACACTATCCCATGTATCTTGCAATATTCTTCGAATTCTTTCCCAATGAATTGTTTTGCATTGTCAAGTGTTATTGTTCTAGGATAGCCCAATCGCGTAAATATTTTGACAAGTCTTTCAACTGTGTCACGGGAACTAATCCTCGACATAATTTCCACTTCTTTATACCTGCTAAAATAATCAACTACCACAAGTTAATACTCTCCAGAAGGTAAAGGTCCCATGAAGTCGATTGCAACGTCAATCCAAGGTTTTGTTGGCAATTCTCGACTGCTCATCGGGAGCGGTTTACTTGGCATTCCGATTAACTGACAACCTTCACAGCACGAAACGTAATCTTTTGCTTCACGATCCATAGCTGGCCACCAGGCCCGATCTCTCAAGCGCCTTTTCATGATCGATTCCCCTGGATGACCCTCATGAGCTAGCTGGAGCATTCGTGGTCGAAGTTCTCGAGGTACAACTAGTTTATTCCCTCTTACAATCGTATCATCAATTAAACCCAGCTCATTTCGGAATGGTTCAAATGGCTTCACTAATTGGTTATTCCAGTTTCCTGATACGAGACAATCTTTAACAGCTTTAAGTTCAGGGTCCGATCTAGTAGCAACTTCAATTTCCCCTACATCAATTGCCGCTGATTCTTGAACAGCGAGAATTAAGAAATGGTTGTCTGTTTCGAATTCAACAGGATCCTCTGCTACTACCAGCCGAGACAGTGAGTCAGCAATATTTCCAGAACCTTTCCGATATTTCACGGTGAATTTGATGGATTGGAGCCTTAATACCCACCGCTCAATTCGAGCACACGGCGTGGATGAAGGTGAGAAAATGATCTCTAACGGCTTATGATCTGTCTCCAATTCAAATTCTCTGCCAACCAGATAAACTGAAATTTTTTCCACTGCCCATACCAACGCTAGCGCCTCCTTCTCTGTTTGGCAATAACGTTTCTCGGTTATGGTTAGGCTTTTGCTCGCATAGCTTATAATTCGAGGATCCGCATCAGTTCTACCTTCAAATTGAACAAGGACTGCCCCTAGAGCCACTGGAGAAGCATCCGCAATAACTCGAGTTCTCAACGTGTTACTGAAAAACGAGAGAGTTTGTACATCAGCGATCATCAATTTTAGGAGCTCAAAACTGTCTTGATGTTTCCTTTCCCACGTGAATCTATTATTTTTGCAGATAAGTTGTCTTAGAGGTTCCGTTATTGTTGCTAAATCGGGAATGAATTTTCCGACATACGTTACAAGACCCAGGAAACTTCTTACTTCTTCTGGAGTCTTTGGTTCGCGAAATCTTTGAAGCGCTTCAACCTTACTAATAGTTGGCTTAATTCCTTCCGATGAAATCAGATGACCAAGGAACTCAACTTGCTTTACTTTAAAAATACATTTGTCCTTGTTAAGCAATACATTCCGGGACTCTAGTACTCTGAGCACCTTCCTCAATGCTTCATCGTGTTCTTCTTCAGTGTCCCCCGAGACTATTATGTCATCCATGTAATTTACAACATTCTCACAGTCTGACAGAATATGTTCCAAAATCTTTTGGAACATCTCTGGAACACAGGAAATTCCAAACATTAGCCGCTTGTATCTAAACAATCCTTTATGGCAAATAAAGGTTGTTATATATCGGGACGATTCTTCCAGCTCAATCTGAAGAAGTTGAAATCAAATAGAGTTTCATGAGTATACTATCTATACATGTATAATTTCTATAATTATGTAACCCCCGAAATATTCGACTACTTTTACAATATTATTTCCTCTTCTAGAGTTCTTACCTGATGAAAAGCATCTTTAATGTCTAATCGGCTAAAGAATCGAGATGATTTAAAGTGGGGCAAGAAGTAATCAAACGTAGGCATCACATGATGCTCTCTCTGGATTGCTTGATTCGGTCGCCGCATATCCACACAAAGGCGTAGATCACCATTGTCCTTCACAATGGTTACCAATGGTGATACCCAAGGCGCTGGTCCCGTTACGAATTCGATAATATCGTTTGCCAAAAGCTGATCCAATTTATCTTCAATCCGACTGAGTAATGCAATTGGAGGACGACGAGCTCTTGGAACGATTGGAGTGACATCTTGATTAACGGGAATCCTTACTTGAACATTCTTCATCTTGGGAAATGGCCGTTTCGCTACTGGAATCACAGCGTTGATTGAGTGCTCAGGATACGGAAGTCCAATTTTCAGCACTCTTAAACACTTCGCAGTTTCCTTTCCAAGTAGCGACTGCAATCCACCTACCACAACATAGAATATTGCAATGGTTTCAAATTTGCTGCTACTTGATTCCACGGAAATGGCGGCTTCAAACACGTGTACGATTTCCAATGGTTTAGCTCGACCGTATCCTCGAAGAGTTGTATTAGGAACATCTCGTGGAACCCAGCTTCTCACACCTTGTTTCTTCATGTAGGCCCAGGTCGCATCATCGATAATATTCTTTGAACTGCCTGAATCGATTAACACCTGAACCAAAAGTCCTCCAATCTTTGTCCACAGAATTTCGTTGCCATCACCAATGTTAAAAATGAAGCTCTCTGGTTCAGTTCGATCAAATTTTTCTTCTGCCACGATAGTACACACGTTTCCATACCTGGCTCTTTTCTCTGGATGGTGTGAATGTGGTCCCTCGTATCGTTGTTTGAAAATTTGTCCTGATCGATCCTGATTTTGTAATCCACAACGGTAGCAGGTGTTACGGTTTTGCCTTGCTGATGTATTCAGTTTGTTGATTCGTTCAATGTTTTCCGATGCTGTGACAAACGACGCGTTTCCTGATCCTGTTCCCGCAATCGCTCTTGCTTATAGTTTAATTGATTCGAATGAGTTCACCATCCGTGTGAGTTGGGCCAATGTTAGTTTCTCTTCTTGCAGTAACTTCTCTCTCAGCTCCGTTGGCGCGTAATAGATTACCTTATCTATAATTCTTAAATCTCGACTCTCTGCACTCGTTTTTCCAAAATCGCATCGTTTCGCCTGTCCGAACATCGCATAACAAATTTTGACAACGTTTCGCTTGTTCCATCCTGAACAGTTGCTGGTGATAATTTGCAGAATTCATTCCGTTCGAAAGAATCATGCTGCTTTGGTGAAAAGTGTTGATCGAGTTTGTCAATTGCTGTTTTATACGGATTGATTCTTTGCTCCTTATCTTCTACGACATCTGCTCCATCAATAGAATAGAATAAATCTTGCAATTCTAAACCTCCCTTCGCCAGGAGTATGTTCTTGAGCTTTGTGGCGTTTTTCTCTTCACTTGCTGCTATGATGACTTCGAAGTTCCTTTTCCATCTTATCCATTCCCTCCGAGTTAGTGTCTCAGGAAGATGATTGAACTTGAATGGGTTTATATCCCATCCTCGTCGCCAGGTGTGGTACCTTAGTATATTCGGATTCCAATTCATGCACACAGTAAAAGTACTTGTTATCTGTTCGGTAGCACAGTATATTCTGAATTTATTAATTGTCATGTTATCAAGGCCTGCTTAGATATTATTATTAGACATATACAACATTCTCTTGATCAAGGCAACCTCTGAGTATCGTAGTCAACATTTCAGTGCCAACATTTCAAAGGGTCGTAATTGCTTTTGTAAACAATGGCTTTAGCCGTCGATTTCTCGTAACTAGAAGCTCGCCCCTTCAAATTAACAATGCTAGCTAGTAGAGGAAACATTCCTCTACCTGTTGGTGTCATTATTTTTCATGTGTTTGGAGGCGAACCAGCCCAAGGCTGAAAGCCTCCTTAATAAAGCTAAATAATAATAATAATATTTTTCATGTGTGAGCTTTTATTCGCGAGAAATCAACGGGTAAAGCCATTGTTTACAAATGCAATTACGCCCCTTTAACATGTTGGCACTGATTTGTTTTTCTTCATTCGTGGCTGGATGTTCAATATCGCCTCCGTTGTTGTCAATTAGGTTTTGCACCGTCGGGGTTAACCTCAATCTGATGACAGTTCAGTGGTACTGTTTACGTGGACTTAGTCGATTTTTTCTTGGGTGGATTTTCTCGATAATTTTTCAGACTGCAGTGAGATGTAAACCACACTTCTGCATTGTCCACGAGCAACATCCTTTCACCGCGCTGTTCCTCGACAATTTTCAAGTTAAGATTCGGAAATTTTAGAATTTGTTTTTTCGAAAAAACGACTAAGGCTCTGAACCATTTGGTGGATTATTTTAACTTTTGGTTAAAATTTGACAGATGAAAAGTTATCGATTAACCCTGCTATCGGAGCGTGGTTACTTCTGACAGACAAGAAGTTAAATTTTGACGACCGTGGCTCGAAAACCGGTCGATCGATAGCACGGGGATTTTCGAACATAAGAAATAACTTTCGAAATGTCACTTTTAACCACGAGTTAAATTTAACTCGGCAAATGGTTCACAGCCTAAGTGCTTGTAAACAGTACCACTGAACTGTCAAAAAGGTTCAGCCTATTAACACTGAGTTCATTCGTGGCGTCACGCTGCAGAACCTAATGGACGAGTGCACCGATGGATTTGAGTTCACTCGAGAAAAAGTGACACAAGCTCTGCGGGCAATGTTTACTAATCATGAACACTAAATGTTCATTATTCATTATTCATGAACATTGAACATGATTAGTAAACATTGCCCGCAGCTTGTGTCACTTTTTCTCGAGTGAGTGAACTCAAATCCATCGGTGCACTCGTCCATTTTGCTTTTGAGGATCATGAACTGATTTGGAGGATAATCAAGCACTGGAGAATATCAACAAACGCGTACTCGTTGATGTATAATGAACTCATTTGTTCATTTCACTCGTACGTAACAGCGAAGATTCTCAAAACAAACGCAATTCATCTACACTGGGTTGAAGCGCTACTCCTTGTGTGTGATGGTAAATGATAAAAACAGACACAGGTCTGTATAACTTTTTTGATTTGGATTAGATGGATTGTGCGCCACTCTTTCAAACGCTTGAGAACTACTCCTGAAAATTCCGACAATCTGGGAAATCTTAAAACTCTCAGAACTTCAGTAACTTCTGGTACTCTCGATTGATGGCTAGGGATATGAACTTCTAGAATTTTCGGAAGACTAATGTGTGCATGATGTCTAGCATTCCGTGGATTAAAAAAAACTTCAATATCTGCCGGAACTCCAACTTGCCTTGATTTTTTTTTGCAATTTCAGAAACCCTCTGAACTCTAGCAACTTAAGGAAATTCAGCTATTTCAAGTGTTCATTTTTGGAACTCCCGAACAAGCTTCGGAACTGCGGAAACATCCGAAACTTCTCGATATCCAACGACTCGGCGAATTGAATCGTCTAAACCGGGCTTCATTGTCCGTGATTTGTTCACAGCGGTACCATATAGCCAGATAAAGGGTGTCCACGATGAAATTGCCACACACAAAATTGATTCGCAAAATTCGAGTTTTCATCCGATTGCCATCAAATTTTCAGGGATTGAGAAATAACTATTAAACTTCATTTTACCATTTTACTCGTATTTTATTTACAGTCCATACGCAAATGCGCGCACCTTGGCCTTAACCCCGGCCATAAGATTCTGCACAACCTGTGAATCAACCGTTTTTTGCATGTAAACCCATACTTTCTTCAGTCCCTCGACTGTCTTCACTACCTTAGGTCGTTTAAGAAGGTGCTGCTTCATAATCGCCCAGTACTTCTCGATGGGGCGGAACTCCGGAGTGTTGGGAGGGTTGAACATTTTCGGCACGAAATTGACCTTATTGTCCGCATACCACTTCAGCACGTCCTTGGAGTAGTGGCATGAGGCCAAATCCGGCCAGAAGATTGTTGGGACGTTGTGGGCCTTCAGGAGAGGAAGCAGCCGCTTCTGGAGGCACTCTTTTATGTACACCTGTCCGTTCATCGTGTCCTGGGTCACGAAAGGTGCACTCCGCTTCCCGCACGTGCAGATGGCTTGCCAAACCAGGAATTTCTTCGCAAATTTGGACATCTTCTGAGTGCGGACATGCTCCGGAACGCTGAACTTATCCTTGGCCGTGAAAAACAGGTTGCCGGGGATCTGTTTGAAGTCGGCCTTCACATATGTTTCGTCGTCCATGATGCAGCATTCAACTTTCGTCAGCATGTTGAGGTACAACTTCCTGGCACGGGTTTTGGCGGACTTGTTCTGCTTCTCGTCGCGATTAGGGGCCTTTTGTACCTTGAACGTTCGAAGCCCAGCCTTAGTTTTGGCCTTCTGGACAAAACTTCGGCTTAGGTGCAGCTTCTTAGCCACATCCCTAACGGAGGCGTTCGGATTTCGGTTGAAGGCCCCAACTACGCGGTTGTGATTTTTGGTGTTGTACGGAATACTTTTTCCTTCACTTCTGGGCTTCCGATCGGTGGTCAACCGTTCCTCGAACCGCTTAATCACTCGCGACACCGTGGAATTCGCGATTCCCAACGTTTTAGCGATGGAACGATGCGAGAGATCCTTGTTCTCGTGATGAATGCGCAAGATTTTATCACGCACGAGCTGTTCTTTCGACTCCATTTCCGCGAGTTTTGATCACAGGACTTTAAAACTTGCAGGATGTAAATAATGCACTATGAACTAAATCCACCCAAATTTTCATTAAATTCTACCCAACGGTTAAAAAGTTAGAGCAATTTCATAGTGTGGCAATTTCATCGTGGACACCCTTTAGGAGATTTTTCTTTTCGCAATAGTTACACCCGCATTCGAATCCATTTTACCTTAATACTAATGCCAACAACATAATCCACACTATCCAGGTGCACGAGGATTCTTGGCCGTTTCTGCTGCCGGTGAATACCAAACAGTTCGCCACGTACCGCAAGGTCATCAAGTACCCGATGGATTTGTCGACCATCAAAAAGCGTCTGCAGGACTTGGTGTAAGTTGAGCAATGGGTTTTCGAATTTTTCCATCATAATTTTTTTCATCCTACGATTGCAGCTACAAATCGCGCGATGACTTCATCGTCGACGTCCGGCAGATATTCGACAACTGCGAAATGTTCAACGAGGACGACTCGCCGGTCGGCATTGCCGGCCACGGGATGCGCAAGTACTTCGAGCAGCGTTGGGCCGAGCTAACCGAGAAGCACGCGTCATGATATCACGCTACCGGTGGAGCAGCAGTAGCAGCCGCAACATCGGGTGTAACGTCAGCAGTAACAACCTTGCTGGAGGAGGGAGTTGCTCCGGAGGTTGAGTATCCATCGGAGGAATGCCACCGGTCGCAACAGTTGTTGGAAGAGCAGGATGATGGTGGTGATGGCTTGGCAGAGTCGTCGATTGCGATCGCTACGGCGAAGTTTGACCACCAAGAGGAAGAAGGCGGTGGTGGTCTGGAAGCGGCGTTGATGGTTTTGGAAGATGAACCGGAATAGTTGGAGCAGCGAGCAGAGATGCGGCGATGAGATTTTGTGAACGATAGTTTTCTTTAGATTAATTTGATTTCGCTTTATTATAGGAATCTCGCCAAGCGAGAGCGCATTACTACTGACTGTGTTTGTGAGGAAAATACCGTTGCAGTATTTTTTCGATAAAATTTTCACCGGATCTTCTTTTTTTCATCGAACTAAAATTTTCGTTTCTGGAAGATTTTTAAGTGAAGTTGCAGGCGCAAATTACGATTTTCTTTTTCCGGGGAAAACTTTTCAGTATTGATCGCAGAATCGAGGTTGGAAGCTGTTCCACTTGAAGGAGACACGAACCAGACGAGATAAGTTTTTTGAAACCTTTGGAAAGCATTTTGGAGTAAGATCAAAATTATTTAAACGAAAAAATAATATCAAAAAATCATAAACTCAAAACATAAACTTAAATGTATTCAAGCAAGAAAATAGACTGTTTTACAAATAAAGAAAAAGATAACTTATTAATCTAGAAAACTCCCCCTTTACCTTTAGCATTATGTGGTTCTCAAGCCAGCCAGCGTTATAGTACTACTACTACTGCTACTAACAAAAACAAATGATACCCTCTAAATTGCATCAAATTTAGACACTCCACTCCATTTAAAAATAAACAGATCACATGTAATCACTATCCCATGTGTGAGGCATCGTCACCGACACAATTTTGGTCGGAATAAGTGAACGAAAATCATCGTGTAGAAGTCTACATTTATATTTTTATCGCATAGGACCTTGTTTCCATCCCTTTCCACAAACTATAACAGAATAAATGACTAAAACTATGTAATTAAAACGAAATCTCCCCTCCCAAGCTGCCGCCCGATAGCGGGAGCCCTCCGGAGGCAGCGCTCCAAAACGCAAAAGAAAACTAATTTGTAAATAGTAGTATTTAGTTACGATTGGTATCGTTAAGTGCAAAAGAAACACGTTTTTAAATGAAAAAAGTGCAGATCTATTTATAAGAAAGGACAAATACATACACAAACACACACACACATACTAATCATGCACATTTTTTTGCAGTAATTTCAATGCGGGGAAAGAAAGTGATAAATCATCATTTTGAATCCCATCGTTGCTTTTCCGTGCATTTGTGCGTGTTTCACTTTTAGTTGTATTTTGTAATTATTCATCGAATCCATTCTTACTTAGTTCCGACTTTTTTTCTTCTTTCCGATTGCTAGAGGAACGATATTTATATAAAAAAAAAATCGTCGGAGAAGAGCAGCTGTAAGCCTGTTTGCATTAACAACCTACAACAATGAGTAGTTAACTTTTGTCCTGTTGTGTCGCCACACGTGTGTGGGGCACGCAAAAATCTAATAAAACTAATTGAACCTAGATCGTAACAATGATAAACCAATTAAACGCAGAAGTAGTGATTCAATGTGAATATCTTTTAGTAATGATGTCGATGTACTGAATAAACTTTAAAACAAACTGGCTAGTGTGTTGTACTAATTAATGATTAAAGTGCTGCTAGAAAGGTGTAGACTGCTCACACAAAAACGTAAGAAATAAAAACGAACAAAAAACATTGGCGGTTTGACTTGAGTTTAGTTGATGTTTTTATTTCGTCCAACTTGAAAAGCCCCATTGCTGTGCGCTTTTTGCATCGATCGATCTGCATTACAATACATACACATAACATGCATAACATACAAGATTAAAGCTACGTCCTTAGTTTTTATTTAATAGTATTATGATAGTTTGTGTCGTCGCCTAACCGCCGCGTAGAATGAAGATAATTAAACACACGAGAAAAGTAAGAGTAATTGAAGAAATTGAAAAGTATGTTGATATATATACATGTACATATTTCGAAGATTTTGCGAGTAAGGTAAAAAAGCATAGAATAAAATTATGGATGAATATTAGAATGTGTCGTGCGGGGATGGTTGCATCGTAGTGGAACGGAAAAGAAAGCATTGACTTCTGATAAATACCTATTAGATTACTGCCATTAGGAGCTTGTTTCAGCATCGCTATTTGTTGTCAGCTGTTGTTCAAAAACATGCAAAAAATACGAAAATTGTAGGAAATCCGCTTAGATCGAATATGTACGGTCGCGATCCATTTTGTGGCGAATTTCACTCAAATTCGAATAAACACAGACTGAGATGAAATAGATTACTACACTGAGGAAATAATTCGTTCAAATTTCATACGAAATGTTAATGGAATTTAACCAAAAGAATTTATTTTGAATTTCATACGGTAGAAATATGAACGCGCACATCTGTTATCATTTATGTTTTTTGCAATAGACAAATATGGATTTCATAAATGTGTCGTATGAAAATGATACGTTATGAGTATGAAATTTACGTTTCATTCGTATGAATTAGAAACGAGAGGAATACGAAAAGCAATCGAATCAACTATGAAATTCATTGTAGCATTGTAGTTTGCAAATTAATTATCAACATCTAATCATTCATATGGCATCATTAAAGCCATACACTCTATAATTTTAAATATGTAGGTAGGATCCGGAACGTTATTTAGAATTCAGCGTTTTTACTTCTCAATACAGCCCAAGTTTCCGCCGGAACTTTAACATACGCTAGCAATTTCGACTCGTACGCCATATTGTTTTGTTATGAACAAATCATACGAGCGTTTCATACGGACGACGTATGATTTTAGCACACAAGATCTACTCAAAAAGTTCATTACAGCCTCGTATGAAATTTAGACTCATTTCGTATGGGAATCATTTTTAAGTTATGTAATTTTCATAAGCATGCTATGAATACCATACGTGTCGTATGAAACTATTTCCATAGCTCAAAATGCTTGTTCATACGAATCATATTATAAAAATCGTAATTCTAGTTTCCTCAGTGTACCAAAATCTCAAAAAATAAAAATAAAAATTAAAGCAGGCTACTGACGGACGGAAGGTTTGAATAGCATATAACAAGGCTTGCAGTATGAACAAGGCTATATATTTATTTAAACCCATTTTCAGTAAAAATAAATCCAAGGATAAATTATTTAAACTTAAAGTGGTAGTTTGTTAATATCAGTATGGTTGACATTTCGAGTTCAAAGCACAGCACATCAACAACGATGTGCAATACAATCTAAAATGAAGTGATTTCCTGTTGGTTTCATCGTGCTTCGATATGATCTCTTCCAAGGGATTTGCACATCGAATTGCAATGTTTGGCAAGTAGTGCAAATTCAACAGCAAATCACTTTCATGAACGTGATGTTTTTTTTACCGTGTACTTTTTCGTGTTTATTGCGTAGTTTGTGAACTGTTCTCAGAGGAAAAATGCTGAACCATGAGATAATATGCGTTTAATTGGAAATAGGAATAACTTTTCGGTCAGCAAAATAAAACTTTATTTTCCTCGGATCGGTGCGAATGCTACTTTCGACATTATGAAAATTTGCTCTTGCTATTTTCTGTCAAACGCGAACCAGCGCCTGATTGGTCGGGCAAACGCATAGAAACGCGAGAATTTTTACAACAGGGAATCTATTTTATTGTACTTTGACAGTCGACTGCGTCGTCCATAATGAAATAGTTTTTGCACGGTCGTTTCCGTGAGAGAAGAAGAACACGTCACAGACAAAAATAAGCTAGTTGTCTCCTCTTCCTCTTAGCTTTGGCTGTGTTCAAGGAAATTTTTGAGGAAAATCGAGAAAACATTTCAAGCTGAACATTGTATTAGGTCCTAAGTAACATTGACAGATTCTCTTCGTTAATTTTCTCTTTGCATCCCCACGCTCATGTGAAGACATTCCCAGGTACTTTCAGCACACATATCGATAAAAGAAGCTTTTATCAAGCATCCGGCAACCGGCCTATTTAATAGTTTTTCGTCGATGGATTTAGTCGGCCAACTTTGTCTGCTGTTTAATCGGCAGATGATTTCAAACCTTAACATGTTTTCTGTAATTTAACTGTCTTGAAGTAGCTTTTTATTTAGGAACAATGCATTACAAAATAATTTTATGCATTTTGTACAAGGTTCATCCATGCTGACAAGAAATTTGCATGAAATTACATTGAAATTAAACAATTTTGCAAACAATCAATGAAATTGTCAAAGGCTGTCACAGACTTATCACCGTCGGTTAGTGCTTATTCCTGCCACCAGGCGCGCAGGAGTTTAAGTTGGATTTCTCAATTGGAAGATTGCCGTAAAAGCTCTAACGCAGATGTCGCCACTGCATGATGATGATAATGTTGACAGACTGCATATAAAATTCGTGAAAATTAGCGTTAAATCATAATTTTCATCAAGCCTGTGTAAAATTCTTCCAATATAACATTCGAATTGCAGAAGAAAACGTTTTTACGATCAGACTGATGTGCAACTTTGACTTTTCCAGTTGAACTTTCATAAGATATATTCATTTCATTTCGCGGCTCCAACAATGCTGCATCGTAAATATGATGTAAACAGAAGTAAATTGCTCAATTACTCAAAATAGAGATGATTTTTCATCTTGCTATCACTTTGAAGACCATCTAGCACCATTTTATAGTATGGTGCGTGTTGAGTAAAGCAAGTTCCGTTGCGTTTTCCGTCGAAAATTGTGAGCATCAATATGTTTGCTAACAAAAGGCCAAAATGAACATTTATTGAATTTTGGCGTCCTATACAACCTATCTCCATTACCACCAGCATGATACAACCTTTCCTAAGTAAATTCACTTAATTTCCACTTTCATCCTAGTGGAAATCGCACATATTCACCATTTTCCGAAAAATGCCGCTGCGCAGGAGGTAACCTCTCCCTGTGGATGCAAATTTGTTATGCATAATTTTCCATGAAAACATCTCCGATCCATACCGAAATAATAACAGTTAGTTTGCAAACACATTTTCTTACACGATTCAAGCAAAAGTTTTCACGGGAAATTATTAGTTTTTCTTTATGTACCGATTTGCCCCAAAAATCGTCTGTTTTACTTGAAGAATTTGGAAACTATCCTCCTTCTAGTAGTTCTCACTTCGAAATGTAGGTGGCGAAAGCATGGAAAAGTTTCACTGCAAGACGCCAATAGCTCGACTTTTTTTTTTATCTTTTTTACTTTCGACGTAATGTCAATTTGCTCTTGATTGGTTCATAAAGTCCCCTTATTGTCTCCTCTTCCTCTTAGTCGAATATGCATATTTTATACGCAAAATTGAGTCCTTTACACGCTAACTCGAAAGTACCCATTAATGGTTGAAAAAGACCCATTTTGAAGAAAAGTGGCTTAACTCATTAAATGAGTAAATTTTTTACCCATTAATGAGTATCTGTTACCCATTAATGAGTAATTGTTAATCATTAATGGGTAACAGATACTCATTAATGGGTAAAATTGTTTAATCATTAATGAGTTAAGCCACTTTTCTTCAAAATGGGTCTTTTTTTACTCATTAATGAGTACTTTCAAGTTAGCGTGTATAGCCATTTTTGCGTACATATTTTGCGGTTTCCGCGTGTTCGCTCTTATAAATTTCTATACATAGCCAATCAGAACTACTCAGCGATTGAATTCAATTGATTTGAGCATTTTCTTTCCATACGAAATTTACTCATATTTTGGATAACCTGCAGTTACTCATTAGCTATGCATTCATGCAGGTTTTCCCAGATATGAGTAAATTTCGTATGGAAAGAAAATGCTCTGAGTCAATTTAAATTCAGTCGCTGAGTTGTTCTGATTGGCCGTGTATACGAATGAGTAAAAGTGACTCATCCTCTGAAGGAGTTTCGTTTTCAGTGCATCGAAGAAAACGCCTTTTGAGCCAAAATGCGGTTTGTGTTCTGGATAAACGGAGCTCACCTCAAGTTGACCTAAGGTTTGTGATAGAACTACATAGCTACTACTGCCACTTTTCCAATGCATGTTGATGATCAAAGTACATTAAGGCCAGGTATTACGCAGTTCTGACGAAACTGGGCGCATGAGTTTATTTTGGTAGGGAGAATGTTACACAATGGGGATTTTATTGAATTGCACACGGTAATCACAACAAACTCTCTTATGACTATAAAGTACGCTCTTTCTTTGGAAAATGGGACTACCCAATAAAGGAGTATACTGTTTTTACTCTCTTTTGCGTAAATTGAATGTACGTCAGAATCTGCATACTTTTTACACCACATAGTAAACTTAAAAATGCGTAGTTTTGACACCCCGAACAAAGTATAAATGCGTAATTTATACTCCCACATGCATAGTTAAATGCATAGTTTTTACATTGAAAAAAAAAATATACCTAAGATAAAACAAATTTTGTATTTCAAGTTCGTTTCAAATATTGAATGAAAATGCATAAGAATTTTAACAGTAATATTTATTTATTTATTTATTTAATTAAATGGAATAAATCCTTTCTAGATTTTATTCGAATCAATCGTCAAAACACTTACACCAATCCATCGAATCAGCGGTGCTGCTAACTCCTCCTCGACTCCCAATGGCATCACATTTGGCGGTTTTTTAACGCCTTTTCTGGACAGTTGTCCCATGATTCGGAGGCATCCGCGGACATGATCTACATTTTGATGAAAATTTAATTTAACACGTAATGAATACTCGATGTTCTTTTTTATTCGGTTAAAATTTTTTATTTGGTTAACAATAAAAGTAAATGCTTTAATTACCTGCCAGTGTCGTGAATACGTCCTGTTCCAAAGTGGACAATTCCTCCATTTTCCGCTGACCCACCGCAGAAATAATCCGGGACCGGGAACTGAATTAAAACGCTGCTTTTCCAATGAACGCTGTTTTGAAAATGGCGGCACGTCGCGGCATAAATTTTCTTTTCTCAGCGGGGACTACTTTTTACACATTTTTGTTCGTCGTTGACATACTCGGAAATGCATAAAAAGTACTCTTCATTTATAACTAAAATCTAAA